ACTCTCTCTCTCTCTCTCACACACACACACACACACTCAAACACACACACAGACACACACACACATACACACACACACATGAACACACACACACACACACATTGGAATATATTTTTTTAAAAACTGAAGCAGAAATACAAATTATGGACACAATCATGTACGCCATGTTCGCGCGATCGCACACATGAATACACATGAACACGCATAATATAATACATAGTACTTAATTGTTATAATCCTAGCCCAAAACCAGAACGTTGTGCAATGCCGATGAGCAACAATGTGTCTTTGGTCTATAAAATAATCTTATGTTACGACGTGGTGGAACCAGGCGCTCGTCAGTCTTTAGGTGTGTGAAGTTATTGGTATTGCCTTAAAGCTTTTTTCTTTTGCCTTGCTTCCGGTGTTGGAAATACCCATTTATCTTGACACCCTGTCGAGATTTTTTTGATTGAAGGAGATGGGGGTCACTTGATTACAGAGGTAAAGTTGGCGAGAAAATGACAGCCAAAATGTGGTTATTTACGTTGACCCACATAGCGCGAGAGTCCCTGGAAACTGACAATTTATATTTTGTTTGGACTTCAATCCTTTTTTTTCTTCAGTAAAGCCAACACAAGAATAGGAACTTAAATGGACATAAAAGGCGTTAAGCCAACAAAAAATAATCAAATGTTCAATAAAAATTGGTAAACCGGAGGAAAAAAATGCTAATGTTTTCTATTTCATTATCTTGACGAGCGCCTGATTTCACCACGCAGCCTCACATAAATTATTTGTTACTCATGGGACTCCGGGCTTGGGACTGCTGTGGCATTCGCACAAAGACAAAGTTGAAAGTCTACAATGCTGCGGTACTCCCGAAACTATTGCATGGTGCCGAGACCTGGACAGTGTACTGATGCTGTACAAAGAAGCTTAGACCTGTTCTATGTGAAATGCCTCAGGAGAATTCTTGGCTTTAAATGGCAGGATGAAATAGCAGACACCGAAATTCGCGAAAGAGCAATAACCTGCAAGTCTGTTTTCTAAGCTCAAAATGACTCAACTTCGCTGAGATGGCCATGTAGTGAGAATTCCTGATTTCAGAATACCAAAGGCAGAATTCTATTCTGAACTGTCAGGTAAAAGCAACGTTGACG